GATTGGGCTAGTCCCTGCCTGCCACCCTGGACACCTCTCATTTCACATGCCCTCAATCACTCTGCTGTAGCCATAGACTGTCCCTGAAGCCCCTCTTACTACCTGGCATTTGCACATGCTGTTCCACTTGCCAGCAATACGGTTCCCTCTTCCATGTGATCAGCTCCCTCTTATCCTTATCTTGGTTCAGGGTTACCTTGTCAGGAGAATCTTCCTGGACCTCCAATGCAGTGTTCGCCCATCTGGGGTCATGCCCTGACCTTCACAGCTCTTCTTATTGGTGTGACTCTTTGTTTAAAGCCTGCATCCAGGATAGGCATGGTGGTTCATACCTGTAATCCCAACACTGGTAGGCTGAGGCAGGAGTAGTGCTTGGGGGCAAGGCGTTCAAGACCAGCCTGGGCAACTTAATGGGACCCTGTCTCTAGAAAAACTGAAAGCAATAGCCAGGTGTGGTGGCACACACCTGTGGTCTCAGCTGCTCGGGCAGCTGAGGTGGGAGGATTGCGTGAGCCTGAGAGCTCAAGGCTGCAGTGAGCTGTGATTATGTTACTGCACTCCAGCCTAAGCGACGGAACAAGACCCTGTCTCAAAAAACAAAAACAGAAAACAAAGTCTGTGTCCCGTACAACGCAGGGAACTTCATGAGAGCAGAGATCAGCTTGGCTTTCACTCCACTCTGCCAACCCTGAGTGCCCTGCATAGTGCTTGGCACATAACACATGCACAACTAATGCACAGCTAATATTTAAAGAATCAATAAATGAGAGACTAGTAGCCTGACACCCGCTCTGTGCCTGCACAGAGGTCAGGGACCCTGAGAGGGAGGCAGGACCTGGAACCTACCAGAGAAGGGGCAACCTCAGCTGACTTCTTGCCCGAGGCCCCAGAGACCAAGAGGGGTCAGGTGGGCAGGACTTGCTGCCAGCAGTCACCCAGACCACCTCACTCAGAGCAGACAGGCAGAGGCCTGTAGCAACGATGTTGGCAGTCATAACAGCTGCTTACCCAGGCCAGCCACTGTGCCCGGCTCTCCACCATTTCATGTAATGCCCAGGCCAGCCTTGGTAGGGGAGGTATCTACACTCACGGATGAGGAGACTAATGCTGAGGCTGCATGACTTGCTATGGGTCAGATCCAAGTGAGGAATGAGACCTGACCCAGAGCTCTGAGCCGCGGGCCTCCTCATCCCCTGGGCTAGAGCTGGGCTTGCCTCTCCGAGTGGCAGGTCTTCATCTGGACAATGGGGTTTTGCAGGGGAAAGATGCCTGCCTGCGGGCTTGAGGCATGACTTGGGCAAGTCCCTAGACAATGGTGGCCTCTCAGCCTTTCTTTCTTTTTTTTTTTTTTTTTTTTGAGGAGAAAGAGAATAATATTTATTGGGCATGCCATACACCAAGTTAGATTTTTTTTTTATTATTAATAGCACCAGTATCTCTGAACCTGATTTATTTTTTTATCTTTTTATTGCATTTTAGGTTTTGGGGTACATGTGCAGAACATGCAAGACATCTGCATAGGTACACACATGGCAGTGTGTTTTGCTGCCTTCCTCCCCTTCACCCACATTTGGCATTCCTCTCAGCCTTTCTTCTGGACAGACAAGGCTCCCTGCTTGGGGCAGACAGAAAGTATGGCTCTGGGAGGTGCTCCTGGTTCTGAAGAGCCAGCCCTGCCCCACTTGTCCCCAGCAAGTCTTCTGACCTCTCTCTGCCTCACTTTCAACAAATGTTACGTGGCTGTGGCAGTGGAGTTGGATCTGGGACATCTCAGGCCCTGACATTCTTCCTGAGAGCCTGTCTAAAGTGGTGTTTCCACTCACTGTCTCCAATTTCTTTTTTTCCATTTTCACATTTACAGTGTTGTGGTGGGTGGGGACAGTGTCTCGCTCTGTCTCTCAGGCTGGAGTACAGTGGCGCAACCTCGCCTCCCGGCACCCTCCACCTCCCGGGTTTAAGTGATTCTCCTGCCTCAGCCACCACACTGTGCACGCCTTTAGCTGGGATTACAGGTGTGTACCACCACACCCAGCTGAGTTTTGTATTTTTTGGTAGAGATGGAGTTTCGCCATGTCGGCCAGGCTGGTCTTGAGTTCCTAGCTTCAAGTGATCCACCTGCCTCGGCCTCACAAAGTGCTTGGACTACAGGTGAGAACCTCCATGCCCAGCCACCATTTATACTTTTAAATGTGACATTTTTGTTTGTTTTTTGACTCAGAAATGCACTGATATGGATCAAAAATCAAACTAATGTAGAAAGATTTATAGGGAGATAACCATTCTCATTAATTTCTTGTGTAGCTTTTGTTGTATTTTTTTTTGAGACAGAGTCACTCTGTCACTCGAGCTGGAGTGCAGTGGCATAATCTCAGCTCACTACAACCTTCGCCTCCTGGGTTCAAGCAATTCTTATGGCTCAGCCTCCTGAGTAGCTGGAACTACAGACACACACCATCATGCCTGGCTAAATTTTGTATTTTAGTAGAGACGGGGTTTCATCGTGTTGCCCAGGCTGGTTTCAAACTCCTGAGCTCTGGCAATTTGCCCACCTCAGCCTCCCAAAGTGCTAGGATTATGGGCTTGAGCCTCCACACCCAGCGCTGAATTTCTTTTATTTGTTTTGACACAGGGTTTTGCTCTGTGTCAGAGTCTGGAGTGCAGTGGCGTGATCACGGCTCACTGCAGCCTCAAATCCTGGCTCAAGCGAATCTTCCACTTCAGCCTCTTGAGTATCTGGGCCTACAGGCACTTGCCAACACTCCCCACTAATATTTTAGTTAGTTTGTTTTTTAGAGACACGGTCTCATATTGCCTAAGCTGGTGGTCAAACTACTGGGCTCCTCCCATTTCAGCCTCCCAAAGTGCTGGAATTACAGGCATGAGCCACAGCGCCCGGCCTAATGATTCTAAAATTAATATGGAAATGCAGAGAACTTAGAATAGCCAAAACAATGCTGAAGAAGAACAAGACTGGAGAGCCAACCACCACGAAGTCATCTCCTTTGAATATCCCATTCCTCATTCAGGGTGGCTCTCAGCAGCAAATAACTCATCAATCACTTTCTCCATATTGTTGTATATTAATTTCTCTCAACGAGGCAGTAAGCAACTTAAAAGCATATTCTAGTCACAAACACCTCTTCAGTAGTAAGGCATAGTGCTTAAAATCCAAGACTCTCCAGGCAGATGGGCTTCATGGCCCCGTTTCTGTATTTATTATCTAACTGACTCTGGCAACTTTCTTCTCTCTGGTTAGTTTCTCCATCTGCGACATGGGGCAGCAGTGATAACGGTGTCCACGTAGAGTGCCTATGGAGCTTAACTGAAATAAGAGTGCCTGGCACACAGTATCTACCTACTTAATTATTGTGTTTTGAATAAACTGACTCCCAGATCAGAAAGGAGGTAGTTACTGAGATTAGGTTGATTGGCACAGGTTAACCTTCACCTTTGACTATAAAAATTCCATTCTGAAACACACTACAAGCTTTGGTTAAGTTTACTTAATTAGAGTGTTTGGAGCAATGTAGTAAGCTACAGTAGTTGTAGTCAAAGTTATTTTTCAGAAAATGACGAGACTAGGCTGAAAGCCCTCAATCTAGTGTTAAGGAGCATCTCCTAATATACTGCCTGAATGTGTATTCCCCACTGGGACTCAAGCCCGGACAGATAGTCCAACAGACATTAAAAGGTTGCCTGTCAACGATATTGAGCCTTGGGCCCTGGCTCACGCCTGTAATCCCAATGACTGGCTAACTCAGGAGGATCCTTTGAGGTCAGGAACTGGAGACCAGCCTGGGCAACACAGCAAGACCTCCTCTCTACATAAAATAAAATAGCTGGGCATGGTGGCACACACCTGTGGTCCCAGCTACTCCGGAGGCTGAGGTGAGAGAATCGCTTGAGGCCAGGAGGTTGAAGTTGCAAGGAGCCGAGATCAAGCCACTGCACTCCAACCTGGGTGATAGAGTGAGACCTGACTCAATGAATGAATGAGAATGAATGAATGAATGAATGAAGATATTGAGTGTTTCCTGTTCCCGGAATTTCTGGTTTGTAAAACTACCTGGGGCCAAGCACAATGGTTCACGCCTATAATCCCAGCTCCTTGGGAGGCTGAGGTGGGCGGATCACCTGAGGTCAAGAGTTCAAGACCAGCCTGGCCAACATGGTGAAACCCCATCTCTACTTTAATAAAAATAAAAAAATTAGCTGGGTGTGGTGGCAGGTGCCTGTAGTCCCAGTCACTTGGGAGGCTGAGGCAGAAGAATCGCTTGAACCTGGGAGGTGAAGAGATGGCGCCATTGCACTTCAACCTGGGAGACAGAGGGAGACTCTGTCTCAAAACACACACACACACCCCCGGCAGTGGGTATTATGGCAGAAGAAACTAAGGCTTTGCGAGGTTCCCGACGGGGAGTCCGCAGCGCGGTGGGGGCGGGGGCGGCCAGACCTCGCGCCTCTGGGCTGTGCTCCTGAGCTCCCGCAGCCCGCGGTCCCAGCGAGGCCTGGGCGTGGAGCGCGGCAGCCGCAGACCCCCGGGAAGACAGGGATTCAGGGTCCTCAGGTGTTTTTAGGCTCCTGCTCGCCTAGTGACCGAGGGGCTGGCTTTCTCCAGGCGGAGAAGTGTCTCCGGGTTCCCAGAAAGGTACCTAACCGGTTAGAAAAGAGGAGACCCAGCCCGGCGCGGTGGCTCACGCCTGTAATCCCAGCACTTTGGGAGGCCCCGGCGGGCGAATCACGAGGTCAGCAGTTCGAGACCAGCCTGACCAACATGGAGAAACCCCGTCTCTACTAAAAATACAAAATTAGCTGGGCGTGGTGGTGTATGCCTATAATCCCAGCTGCTCTGGAGGCTGAGGCAGGAGAACTGCTTGGACCCAGGAGGCAGAGGTTGCAGCGAGCTGAGACCACACCATTGCACTCCAGGCTGGGTCAAAGAGCGAGACTCCATCACAATCGGAAACGGAAAGGGGAAGGGGAAGCGGAAGGGAAAGCGAAGGGAGACCAGGGGGATGAGGGGAAGAGGCCGGCGCTGCCCGGGCCCCGCGCGTGAAGGAAACAGCCCGAGGCCCCGCGGGTCCGGCCCTGAGAGGAAGGAGGGCGCCTGCGCTCCCGCGGGGGCCGGCGGACTTTCCTCCCCGCCCAGCGGCCCGGGGCGGGCTTTTCGGCTGCTCCTCATAAGCAGGCGGCTTCGGGTCTCCGGGACAGGTGGGTGCGGAGCGCAGCCGCGTCGTGCTGGGCGTTCGGGGCCTGCGCGGACCTCGCCGCGCGCCGCAAAACCTGCCCCGCGCCCGCGATGTCCCGGCAGCTCCGCGCGGCGGCCGCGCTCTTGGCGTCCCTGGCGGGTGAGTGGCGCGGGGCTTCCCGCGGTGGCCCTGCCGGGTGGGTCCCCTTCAGCTAACGCGCCCTGGAGCCGCCGCGCTACAGGACGGCCTGCGGGTGGGGACACGGGGCGCGGCTAAGGGCGTCGCGGCTGGACCCTGTTTTCCGTGAGTTACTCAGAGCAGGTGTCAACTCCAAAGACGGTAACATTGTCCCTCGCTCCCAATAGGGTTCTGGGCGCCTTCTCAGGGATTGGATTTGAGAGATGGACACCTGAGCCAGGGCTTGGGAATGGGGGTCTTGGCTTTGGTGCCCCGGAAAAGCGGTCCTGAGGTGCCTTCCTCCACATCACATGGGGTCTGACAGATTGTGCCATTTCAGAAAGGTGTAGGACAGAGTCTCAAAGACTTTTTTAAATTTATTTTTATTTATTTTATTATTATTGTTATATTATTATTTTGAGACAGAGTCTCACTCTGTCGCCCAGGCTGGAGTGCAATGGTGTGGTCTCAGCTCACTGCAACCTCTGCCTCCTGGGTTCAAGCAATTCTCCTGCCTCAGCCTCCCGAGCAGCTGTCGGGACCACAGGTGTGCCCCACTACACCCGGCTTTTTTCTTTTTTAGTAGAGTCAAGGTTTCACCGTGTTGGCTAGGCTGGTCTCGAACCCTTGACCTCAGGTGATCCACCTGCTTCGGACTCCCAAAGTGCTGGCATTACAGGCTTGAAATGCCATTGCATCCAGTTTTTTTGTTTGTTTGTTTTTGTTTTTTTGATGATCATTGTACTTCCCATCCCAGATGCTGTCTGGGACGCTGAGTTTTTGCTTATTTTATGTTCCGACCCTCCACTTTCACCAGAGCTTGTCCCCTTAGACGTTGAGTCCTCCTGGGTGCTGCGGTTCTGTTCCTGTGAGGAGGCTTACTGGTCATGAGAGAACTGCCTCCGTCCGCACCGCCCAGCTAACTGGCTCAGGCAGGGTGTGCGGTGGCCCTTGCTTGTAACGTGAATACCAGGGATGTTACGGAAGCGGTGGGAAGGGACACGCCAGCTGTCCTCACTGAGGCAGTTCTCCCTGTGCCACGCTTTCAGACTTACAGTTTCAGGTTCCCTTAGGAAACAGAAGAGGAAGTCATCATTATGCTTCACAGGGCAAGCTATTAAACAAGCAGAAAATCTCAGCCTCGCGGTAACCCACAGAGACCGGTCTGTGAGCGTTGGTTGGATGGATGGATAGGTTCAGAAACTGATTTATGTAGACAGGCCATGTGAGGTGGCTCAGCCTGCAATCCCAGCACTTTGGGAGGCCGAGGCGGGTGGATCACTTGAGGTCAGGAGTTCAAGACTAGCCCCCCCAACACGGTGAAACCATGTCTCTACTAAAAATACAAAAATTATTTGGGCATGGTGGTGTGCACCTATAATTCCCAGCTACTTGGGAGGCTGAGGCAGGAGAATTGCTTGAACCTGGGAGGCAGAGGTTGCAGTGAGCCGAGATCATGCCAATGCACCCTTAACCTGGTCACAGAGTGAAACTCTGTCTCAAAAAAAAAATAAATAAATATATAAAAATAAAAACACAGTGAGTATTGACAACCACAAGGGCAATTGGAGGGACAACGCCCACATAACCCATTCCTTTCTGAGCTGCTAATTCTCAGAGGTGAGCTGGGTGAAGGGTGCATGAGAGGTTTCTTCCTCAGAGGTGTGCTAGGTCCCAAGGCAGGTCAGTGTTGCATGGCCATCGTGGGGTCGCACGGAACTGGATTCAAAGCCTTGCCCTGACCCTTACTGTCAGGGAGGCCTTGTTCATGTCACCCAAGCTTTCTGGTGCTCAGTTCTCTCACTGAAAAATGGGGAGAATAATATCCTCTGCTGGGAGCACGCAGGAAACAAATGAGGTGGTGCCTGGAAAGCAGCTGTGGCGATTCTCTCGGTGATGTCAACCCACTTCTCCTGGGTGAATCCAGTCCCTCTCTTCATTCACCTCTCAGCCTCCTGCCCGTGAGTCCCTTCCAGCTCCTGCAGTGATTTTCTCAGTGAGGTCAACCCGCTTCTCCTGGGTGTCTCCAGTCCCTCTACCCATTCACCTCTCAGCCTCCTGCCCGTGAGTCCCTTCCAGCTCCTGCAGTGATTTTCTCAGTGAGGTCAACCCGCTTCTCCTGTGTCTCTCCAGTCCCTCTCCCCATTCACCTCTCAGCCTCCTGCCCATGAGTCCCTTCTTCACTCAGTACAGGCTCATCAGCACACAGTAATAGCAATGATGGCCATGGCTGACTGGCACTTTCTAGGTGCCAGGCTCTGTTCTCAGTGCTTTCATCCACAGAACAGCTTTGTAAGTTCTGCTTGCATCTCCACTTGACTTGTGAGGAAGCAGAAGCACAAAGAGGTTAAATAACTTGCCCATGGTCGCATAGCTAGCTAGTGACAGAGTCGAGCTTCGAACCAGAGTCTGTGCCCACAGCAGCTCACCCGTGTGCTTTATTCATGCACCTACTTACCTGTAACTTATTTAGTCTCTTAAGAACCCTGAGAAGTAGATGCTATTCTTATCCCCATTTTACAGATGAGGGTACTGAGGCACAGGCAGGTTAGGGAATTGTTCATGGTCTCCCAGTTAGTGAGTAGCATTTCTTGACCGGCATTCAAGACGTCTGGCTTTGGCTGTGTGCAGTGACTCATGCCTGTGATCTCAGCACTTCGGGACTCTGAGGCGGAAGGTCGCTTGAGGCCGGGAGTTTGAGACCAGCCTGGACAACATAGTAGACTGTGTCTCAAGCAAAACAAAACAAAAACCAAGTCTGGCCTTGGGGTTCAGGCTCTGTACTACATGCAGGCCCCAGAAATACTTGTCAAATTGGAAATGAGAAAAGTCATCAGAAAGTTGTTGTTGTTGTTTTGAGATGGAGTTTCACGCTTGTTGCCCAGGCTGGAGTGCAGTGGTGCGATCTTGGCTCACTGCAACCTTCGTCTCCCAGGCTCAAGTGATTCTCTGGCCTCAGCCTCCTGAGTTGCTGGGATTACAGACACCCACCACCAAGCCCGGCTAATTTTGTATTTTTAGTAGAGATGGGGTTTCTCCATGTTGGTCAGGCTGGTCTCAAACTCCAGACCTCAGGCGATTCACCTGCCTTGGCCTCCCAAAGTGCTGGGATTACAGGCATGAGCCACTACACCTGGCCAAATCATCAGAAAGTTTTGCTAGGAGAGACAGAACTTTTGGGTAAACTCTCTGAGTAATCTATATCCAGTTAACTTGCTTCCCTGATCTCAAATTTTTCCCCCAGAAAATGGGGGGATTTAAGTTCATATCAGTTAAGTGTACGTTCAGTTACATGTAAGAGACAAGCCCAGAATAATAGTAGATTAAACAAGAGAGTTGCTTGTCACACTCTCACATGAAAACATGTCCAGAGAAATTCAGGTCAGTTCTAGTATGGGGGTGCTCCTCTGGGGACCTGTTATACTATATGTCAGTGCGGGGGTGCTCCACTGGGGACCTGCCACCCTATATGTGAGTGTGGGGGTGCTCTACTGGTGACCCAACATCCTCTATGTGAGTGTGGGGGTGCTCCACTGGGGACCCGCCATCCTATATGTGAGTGTGGGGGTGCTCCACTGGGGACCCGCCATCCTATATGTGAGTGTGGGGATGCTCCACTGGGGATGCGTCATTTTATATGTGAGTGTGGGGGTGCTCCACTGGAGCCCATCATCCTGTATGTGAGTGTGGGGGTGCTCCACTGGGGACTCACCATCCTCTGTGTGAGTGTGGGGGTGCTCCACTGGGGACCCACCATCCTATATGAGAATGTGGAGGTGCTTCACTGGGGACCTGCCATCCTATATGTGAGTGTGGGGGTGCTCCACTGGGGACCCACCATCCTGTATGTGAGTGTGGAGGTGCTTCACTGGGGACCCACCATCCTGTATGTGAGTGTGGGGGTGCTCCAGTGGGGACCTACCATCCTATATGTGAGTGTGGGTGTGCTCCACTGGGGACTCACCATCCTATATGTGAGTGTGGGGTTGGTCCACCGGGGACCCACCATCCTATATGTGAGTGTGGGGGTGCTTCACTGGGGACCCGCTATCCTATATGTGAGTGTGGGGTGCTCCACTGGGGACCCGCTATCCTATATGTGAGTGTGGGGGTGCTTCACTGCGGACCTGCCATCCTGTATGTGACTTCTACCTTCAAGTCTCCTAATGGTTCCACATGTCTGCTGAAGCTCCAGCTGTCACATACAAGTTGCAGACTGGCCAAAGGTGGAAAAACAGAAGGGCTATAGAAGGCGGGCCACACAGGCGCTTGAGCTGCCTTCGCCCAGCCTTCCCAGAAGGCCCACAGGAGCTTATCACTTCTCTTGCTTTTGCTGAACCTCAGTCACATGCTCCCACCCAGCCAGAAAGGAAGCTTAGACATAGAGCTCTTTATTCCAGGCAGCAAATGCTCAGCGGAAGCTTGAGGCTCCGTTAGAAAGAAGGGGAGGCTGAATTTGGGAAGAGTCGGCCAGCAGGCTGTCGCAGGGCTAGAACGCTTTCTGCTGTAGGGTTTCCTCTGCTGTCTCTGCTGCAGTCTGCTCGGGACCGCTTCTGCTGCCCCCACAGGTGCCAGAAAAGGTGCTGGGGGCTAAACTGTGGTTTCCTGAACCTGGACGTGGCCATGGGGCTCTTATTACTCGCTGACTGTGCTCCGCAGAGCTCTGCAGACACAGTGCAGTCTCTGAGGCCCACCAGGCCTGCTCCCTGCTGACCTCCCCTCCTCACCCCTCTTTCCCCATACTGTCCCTGTGTTCCCATGGTGCTGACCCCCTTGCTGTTCTTCAGACATGCAAGTCTTCTGAATCCTCTGCACCTTTACCCACCCTCCCCCTCCTTTCTGGAA